TCATCTGGGGATGAGAAGGAGAGATGAACAGGGGTTTCACTCAGCAACTCTGCTCTAACTGTTGGGTCACAGTTGCAGTAAATTAAGTCCCCTGATCAGACAAAATCTCCCTGGGAAACCCTGTCCTAGTAAAATTTTACCAGAGCCTCGGCCACAGTCTCCACCTCTATATTAGAAAGAGCTACAGCCTCCGGGCATCTAGTCGCATAGTCTACCACCATGAGAATGTAGCTCTTCCCTGAGGTGCTGGGCTCACTGAGGGGGCCTATCAGATCTACCGCTACTCCGTGGACGGGTTCCTCAATAATGGGTAAAGGGTGTGATTTGGCCTTCTGGTGATCACCCCTTCTCCCGGTCTTTTGGCAGGTGTCACATGTTCTGCAGTAAATCTTAAGGTCCTGTGTAATCCCTGGTCAAAAGAAGGTCTGGGTTAACCAGTTCATAGTTTTCCTGCTAGCGGGATATCATGGCTGAGCTTGAGTAGCTCGAGGATATCAAGGAGAGAGGTCTTTCATATAATTATCCAGTTCGGTGAATTGAATCGTTCGTGAGTTGCTATTCCCGTAATAAGGTGAACTCCCTATTCGGTATTAACCCACGATACCCGGGTTATACCGTAACAACTGGTGGCAGTGGTGGGATGATTCTCATCGCCCAGGGGGTCAACTACACATCTGGAACTGATGGAAGTACCGTACGAAAGGCTGAAAAAAGCTACCCTTAAAGACCTGCTTGAACAACGGGGCCGACAAGCCAGTAACCTCAGGAAGAGGGAGATTATTGCCATATTGACAGAAATGGATGGAGTATCAGGGGCTGAAGGAACCAATGGGCCCAGCATACCAGACAGAAGAGGCAAGCTTTGACCGGGCGGTTAAAATAAGCCTGACACATTATGGTCCCAACCCGACTACAGAAATCATCGACCGGGTCATAGCAGCTGTGAAGGCCAGCATACTTCGCCAAAGCGGCGCTGCAGCAGCCCAAGTCACAGTAACCCTGGTGGAAAAGAAAAAGGTGCAGTTTGCAGCGTTTGAACCCTTCATTGAGACAGAAGGAGAGATTGATGGTACCTTGCTGATTTTGAGAGGCAATGTGCTCTACACAAGGTACCCGCAGAGGACTTGGTCACTATATTGTTCTGAAAATTATCCGGCCGGGCCAGTGAGGCTTTTCGGGCCATTCCTGATGAGGAGATCGGGGATTATAATGCCGTAAAAGAAGCGCAACTCTCCAGGTATGCAGTTACACCAGAGGCATACCGGAGGCGGTTTAGAGACACAGCCAAACTAGCCGGAGATACATACGTTGAGTGGGCATGTCGGGTGCCCCAATGGGTCCCGCTGAAGTCAACCCGGTGACGACCCGTGCCCAGACCCATGCCGCTGAGACCGGCCCACCTGCTGCTGAGAACCAGGTAAGACCCCGACTTGTACCCTAGATCAGGCCCCCTTAGGCTGGGATACCCCATAGGAGTAAGGGAGGGAAAGCCGGGAGGATCCGACCCTTCAAAAGTATAGGGCTAGGGCAGGCACTGGGGAAGAGGGGGTAGATGGGTAAAGTTATGAGTGGGTGGGGGATAGGCTGTATAGGATCCCTAAACCTTCCCAGAAAGGGGCTACCCCTCCGCAGAATTGGCAGCTGGTGGTACCTGCTGTGACAGATCCATCTGTATAGACTTGGATTGCTGGTTCGTCTGTTTTGCCTTTTCGTGGAATTACCCGTTCGTATGCCCCTGTTCGTTTAATTGACTTTTCCGCCGAACTAAACTACCGAACGGACGGCCACCCAGAAGAGAAGAAGAGTTGGTTAACCTCTTGATCCCAATTAGAATGCGCTAGAGCGCTATTCGCCAATAATATGCCCTCAGATCCAGGCTATCTGGGGATGTGTTACACGAATGAGAAATGTTCGGCAATTGTACAGTTATGTATTTTTATGTGTTTTTTGTGTTGTATTTAAAATGGTGATTTGCCTCTGTCCTGGGAGATAATTGAATTACTTCTCAATTATCTCCAGGGCAGAGGGGAGGAAACCATGATGCATGCTGGGAATATTATGTGCCTGTATGTCCTGAAATGCCGTATGTCCATCTGCCATTACAGTTTCCCATTTTGTCCCCTAGGGGAGTGTCCACCAAGTAGGAGACCTGCATAAATACGGGCGGGTAGCCCACAGTAAACCCAGTTCATGTTTGACCCTCAATCCGGAGCTTGGTCTCGTTATTGGGGGATTTATTACCGACGAATAGAGACTGCCGGATGGGATTATTAGCCGCTTGGGAGATATATGCGTTCGGCTACTAGTGGCGATTCGTGAGTTTGGAATTCGGGAAGTGAAGTACCCGTATGGGTCCCGTTCGGGAGATTGGAGCGTTCCCCTGCTTGCAATTCGTATAGTTGCAGATGATACAAATGAAGCCTGCGTTATGGTGAGAGGGGAGGATTCGCTAAACGGTGGTTTGTCTATTTTATGCTGAGGGTGCCATTACACCTGCGAAATACTGGCAAGAGATTCTGCGGATTGGGCATGATGTACCATTAGCTGGACATCTAGGGTCCTGCTGAACAGCTCATAGAATCACCCAAAATGTCTTCTGGCCCAATTTTAACCGAGATGTGCGGGTTTATTGTAGTACTTGTGACACCTGTCAACGGGTAGGTAAGCGGGGGCGGATCACCCAAAGGCTAGGCTTATGTCTATGCCTATCATTGGGGAAACCTTTTCCCGCATAGCTGTTGACATTGTGGGTCCACTGGCCAGGGCTAGTCCATCTAGTAAAAAGTATATTCTCACCATGGTGGACTACGCCACTCGTTATCCAGAGGCCATAGCACTGTCTAATATAGAGGCAGAGATGGTTGCTGATGCCCTGGTTAAGATTTTTACTAGGGTAGGGTTCCCTAATGAACCCAGTGTGTGCCCCTACTGCAGACGACCCAGACAATTTACCTGTGGCAAACCTAGCCACTTGGACAATAACTAGAGACTGTGCCTTTAAGGGTTGCCAATAGGTCGGGCGAGATATGCGCTTTACACTTATGTAGATGTTAATGTATTTTCCGTATTGCCTGCAATGCTGTTTCCGCCGAATGCAAATGGCGGTTTTGTATGGGGATTCTCTTTCGTTTCACGAACGGCACTTTAGAAAGCCGTTCGTGAACCGAACGCGATACCCCCTAATAGCCCACACACTTAGAGGCGTGTGGCGCTAGTTAACCGATTGCAACATTGTTGCAATCGGTTATTAGAGGCTCTCCTGGGTGGCCGTCGTTCGACTACCGACCATGCGGCGGTCGGCCATCTTGGATCCCTTGTTCTTCGGCGGGGCCGTGTCGTCGAACGCATAGCATTACCAATAGTTATTCGACGGCACGAACACCGCTGAGCCTCCAGGACGTTCGGGAGTTTCAGGACCAGGTTCACTAAAAGCAATCGGTTCTTTTCGTGTGTTTTGAAAGAAATGTGTTTTCTGTGCGGCGTTCGGTTATTTTAGCTGGGATCTGAGCGGCAATCTCACGAATGATGCGCCCAGACCCCAGCTATCTACCGAACGTCCATTCGTGTAAATCCACTGTGTATTTTAAAAGTTATGTATTTTTATATGGATTGCCGGTTCTGCTGCACGAGGGGATAATCCCCTTAACGGTGCATTCTGGGAGGATGATCCCTCTCGTGCAGCGGTGCCTGATGGGAGAAATATGTTATACTGTAAGTCCCCCATGTAGTCCCCTCTGGGAGTGCCCCTGGGGAGGGACTCAGGAAACCCCTTGCATGGGGACTTGTATAAATTGTCGTGCCGATTAAAGGATTGTCAGTTGACTCCCAAAACTGTGTCTCGTCCGGTTATTGGGAGGTTGGGGATATTGCCTTGGTGTTTTCAGCGCTTGACTGTGGATTCGTTTCTGGACCAGCGGAATTCGTGGATTTAATATTGGCATTCCGCTACATTACCCCTGTCCGATTTATTAGAGAAGGACCCCAAACTGACCTCACTAGTCTTGTGCAGCTAGGGGACCGGTTAAGCCCCACAGAGAAGTTACAGGCAAGGCAGCTTCTGTGGGAGAAGCAGGCAACGTTCTCCCAAGAGCCCGGCTACACTACCCTAGCTGTACATAAGGTAGAGACCCCTGGACAGAACCCCCTGCGACAGCCCCCCTACCGTATCCCTGAAGCAGTGCGAGAAGGAATGTGGAAGGAGATACAGGAGATGACTCGGCTTGGAGTCATCGAAACACTCTGGCAGTCCTTGGGCCTCGCCTGTAGTCCTAGTGCCTAAGAAAGATGAGACCACCCAATTCTGTGTGAACTACAGGTGGTTCAACGAGACGACCACCAGTGATGCCTACCCGATGCCCCAGGTAGACGAATTATTAGACCGTATTGCCAGGGGACGCTATCTGACCACCATAGACCTGCGTAAGGGCTATTGGCAGATTCCCCTGGCCGAGGATGCTATCCCCAAGTCAGCATTCATCACTCCATTTGGCCTGTACCAGTTTAAGGTCATGCCATTCGAGATGAAGAATGCTCCGGCTACCTTCCAGCGTATGGTGGATAGACTCCTCAATGGCTTCCAGGAATTTGCTTGTGCATACCTGGACGACATTGCGGTCTACAGTGAGTCCTGGAAGGAACACCTGGTCCATGTAGGAGTGGTTCTGGACAAGATTAGGGCCACTGGCATGACCTTGAAACCAGACAAGTGCCATCTAGTTATGGCTGAAGTACAGTACCTGGGTCACAGAGTGGGCCGTGGCTAACTTGTCCACACCTATCACTAAGACCCAGGTGTTAGCCTTCTTGTGGAATACCGACGTTTTGTCCCTGACTACAGTACTATCGCCAAGCTCCTGACTGACCTGACTAAGAAGAATTTACCTAAGCAGGTCCTATGGTCTCCAGTTTGTGAAGCCGCGTTTCAAGCCCTGAAGCAGGCTCTTGTGAATGCTCCATCTTGGCTGCCCCAGTCCCTAACAAACGCTTTCTCGTTCACACAGATGCTTCCATGTATGGACTGGGGGTTGTGCTAAGCCAAGTCGGGGAGGATGGAGGAGCACACCCTGTCGAATATCTCAGCAGAAAGTTACTACCTCGGGAAGTGAGCTATGAGGCAGTGTAGGAGTGTTTAGCCCTGGTCTGGGCACTGAAGAAGTTGAGCCCTTATTTATATGGGCAGGAATTCTCCCTTATAACGGACCACAATCCCCTTGTCTGGCTTAACCGGGTCTCAGGAGACAATGGTAGATTGCTGTGGTGGAGTTTAGCCCTCCAACCTTATAACTTCACCATCAGCTACCGACCCGGTAAGCAGAACGGAAATGCTGATGAATTGTCCCAGCAAACTGACCTCCCTACCACCTCCTAGTCCAGTCATCCCCAAGTTGACCCGCCAAAGGGTCAAGCCGGGTCTGCCGGAGTGTCCCACAAGGAGGGAGCCATGTGACAGATTCATCTGTCTAAGTACTATCTGCTGGTTTGTCTATTTTGCTATACAGTCGTGGAATTACCTGCCCGTACGTCCCTGTTTGTTTATTTCAGTTTATACGAATAAAACTACCGAACGGCTGGCCACCCAGAAGAGAAGTCTGCTGCTGGTTAACCTGTTGGCCTCAATAAGAATGTTGTGGTTAACCGCAGACACCTCTTAATTGGAACCATATGCTGGGTGGTCGTCGTTCGTATGTCAACCATGAGGCGTCGGCCACACAAATGAGCAGCGGTGTTCGACGATGAACTTATGGAACTCAAACCGGACACTTTTTCTACTGAACACCACTGAAACCGCCGACCGCCCTTCTTATCATCAGGCATACGAAGCCTGGTCCGTTCGGGACTTTTTATTGTACGAATGGACTTAACCCAGATAGCCATCCCATGGAGTCATTCGTATACCGAAAGAACTGTGTGAAAGACTTTGACTCCATGGCGATTGAACTGTGTGCATTGGGTCTGAGCACTATTTGGTAGTAATGTGCGCTCAGATCTAGGCTATCTGGTGACACATACAAATTAAATGCATTCGGTAGTTTTACATTTATGGATTTTTATGTGTTTTTATTATACCATGTAAAATGGCGGTTTGCCTCTGTCCCTGGAGATAATTGGATTTCTTCCCAATTATCTCCAGGATAGAGAGGAGGGGTTTACCTGTACTAAGGGGAGTGTTTATACCTGAGCCACTGTGATTGGCTACTGTACCTCATTTGTCCCAGTCTTCCATCTGGTCCCCTAGGGGAGTGTCCACCAGGTGGGAGACCTGCATAAATAGGGCAGGTAGCCCTCAATAAACCAGAATTAAACACCACAAAGAAGAATCCTGCTGCACTCCTGTGGGACACCACTTTACCCAGCCTGGCCACTCACTGAAGGACCTAAAAATCAAAATACTGAAAGGGTTTTTTAAAAATACCCAGGAAAGAAAAGCCTTTGAAGCCAGAATGATTAAATGGTTTAACAGCAAAAATAGAGGACTAAATATTGATTTGGGATTCCTGTCCCACTACCAACACTTTACATGAACACTCTCCCAGCATTATCTCACTATTCTGTCATATGTACCAAGACTTTAAAATGCATTCCTATATGTTTATTCTATCTATATACAAAGTACTATGTGTAGACCTATGCTTTCCCATACTCGTATGCATGAATGCTTATATATATTACTGTGGATTTATATTTGTGTATATGAGTTCATGTGCATGTATGTACATGTGTTTATGCGTTCACATATACATATTTATGTGTGTGTATGTATAAAGTGTACCATCCTGTGCACTGTCTGTTTGTTTGTTTTTCTTTTCCCTCTCTCCCCTCTCACTCTGCTCTTCAACAAGATATTTATGACCCTCTGCTAAGATGGTGTCTATTTTCTAACAAACCTGTGTCTTAGCTACACTCATGTCCCTTTAAACCCTATATCACAACTCAACTTTGAATTCTATGTGTCGTTTTGCTCAAAAATGTTTCAAACTTGAGAAAGAGATTCTCCCGAAAGCTTGTCATTAAAAAAATTCTGTTAGTCCAATAAAAAAGGTATTACAAAATACCAATTGTATCTGTTTTTTACATCTCTCTATATATACACACATACACACACACATATTTGAAGTCATATGCTGCCAGGCCTTTAAAGTTACTCATCACTGAAGCTATAACATACTCAGGAGTGATTTTCTGCTTGCCAGTGCTAAATTTTCACTCACCAGAGTTTTTGTATATATAAAATTTTATATATATATATATATATATATATATATATATATATATATATATATATATATATATATATATATATATATATACACACACACACACACACACACACACACACACATACACACACACACATATTTTTTTTATTTAATCATTTTCAAAGATTTTACAATAACAATAATAGAACATAATATTTAAAAAATCAAAAGAAAAGAAAAAATTAAGGAAAAAGAAAAGGGAAAAAAAGGGGGGGGAAATGGAAGGAAAATTGTCCATCTAGATTAATATAGTCATATTTAAATTGTCTAGTAAGCATTAATACAAAACAATAATGCATGTGGCACAGGAAATATCAAACAAAGTTAATCAAGTGTAGTTATAATATCTCCGAAATGGTTTTAAAATTAGTAATTATTTCTCAAAGGGTACATTTTACAGAGAATATCTTTTAACAATCTCTTCCTCCTATATATGCCAATAATATTTAAGGCTATCTTTAAATGAAGACGGTTGTCTAATAGCTAATACGTACTGTTTACTCTCTAAGATGGTAGATAATGTTAACTTTATTAAAGGAATAGTTGAAGATTTCCAATGTCTTGGAACAATAGAAGTGGCAGCAATCAATATATGCCCTATACTGATTCTATAAATGCAGTTTTTTTTAAAATATATATCACTATGGTTTTTTTACAGGAAAATTGAGACCAAAGATAATGAGGCAAAATCAAAGCATAATATTTGAATTTATTCTTCTTGGATTCCAAGAGAAACCAGAAGTGGATGTCGTGCTGTTTATACTATTTCTCTTGCTATATGCATCAACACTGGTTGGTAATTTTCTCATTCTGGCTGTTATCTGCAGTAATTCAACTCTTCATTCTCCTATGTACTTTTTCATTGCAAATTTTTCTTCTCTGGAAGTTCTTCTTACATCTAGTGTCATCCCAAAGATCCTAGTAAGCATATGTACTACTTACAAAGCCATTTCTTATTTAGGATGCTTGCTACAGTCTTTTTTTTATTTTTCCTTTGGATCAACAGAACTTCTGATTATGGCCATTATGTCAATAGATCGCTATATAGCTATATGCAAACCTTTGCAATATTCTACAATAATGAATCACTATATGTGTGCATGCTTGGGGATAAGCTGTTGGTGTACTGGATTCATCTTAATTCTTTTACCTGCAATACTGATGTTTCAAATGAAATTCTGTAATAGTAACATTATTAACCATTTCTTTTGTGACAGTAAGCCACTACTGAGGTTGTCTTGTACAGACTCAAGTATTATTGCAACCATAAATTTTGTGATTTCTACTGTAATAGTTTTGAGCTCCCTTATGACAGTCCTGTTCACATATATTCACATTATTGTAACGATAGTTAGGATGTCATCAGTTACTGGAAGGCAGAAGTCATTTTCTACCTGTGTCTCTCACCTTATGCTTGTAGCTCTGGCCTATGGAGGAACCATATTCATCTATGTTGTGCCTAATCAAAGGTATGCTTTAGATAAAAATAAATCAGTTGCAGTTCTCAATATATTTGTCACTCCTGTCATCAGTCCCTTCATATTTACTCTGCGCAATAAAAATGTGAAAATAGCAATTAAAAAAACTCTTGAAAAAATGTTAAATATTTTTATAAGGAAACAATAAGAATGATACATAAGCTACTTAATTCTGATGTCAACAGTAATCCCTATGAAATTGAATGGTGACATTACCCATCCAAAATTATGAATGTATTTATTTTTTCCGCTGCATAAATAATATAAATAATGTTATACCCACACAATCACAGTTGTCAATTTAGAGGAAATTTGCTTACTAAAGTTTTCATGGTAACGTTAAAAAAAACAAAAACCCTCAACATAAAACAGAGTAAAGATGCAATAATTCTCACATAAGTTAATTTGGACCTTTTTCTTAGAGTGTCTGTATGGGTCGGTCTATGTGTGTGCCAGTGAATGTTTGTGTGTATGGTCAGTGTGGTTTTGGGTTATTATAGAGGTCAGTGTAACTATATGGATCACTGTGTATGTTTGTGTCAGTGAGTGTATGATAATGAACATCAGTTTGTTTGTGTGTGTGTGTGTGTGAATGGGTGCATCTATTCCCTTAAATAGGTATACATACATACATGTGTGAGGATGTATATGTAGGTGTGCATGTACATATCTTTGGGCATTTGGTTGTATTTATATTTATATTGTTGTATGTACTTGTGTATACTTGTACATAAACACTACTTGTGTATATGCATATGTACATTAGTGTGAGTATGTGCATGTGTCTGTGTATGCTGGATATAGGCCTTCATGCACATCCTGTAACTCTTGGATGGGAATTCATGCATTCTTAATATTGATATGAGTAATTAAACCCTTTCAAGCACCATCTTCTGCACTGTTTGCTTGTTTTTTTTTCTCTCTATCCACCCTCACTCTGTAATCTTTACAGAAGATATTTACACCCCTATGCAAGAATGTTGTCTATTTTCTATCAAACCTGTGTCTTACCTGCACTCATGTTGCTTTAACCCCTGTATCACAACTCAACTTTGAATTCCATGTGTCGTCTTGCTCAGGAATGCTTTAGACTTGAGAAAGGGAGGTTCTTCCGAAAGCTTGTCATTAAAAAATTCTGTTAGTCCAATAATAAAGGTATTACAATATACAAATTTTATCTGTTTTTTACATCTACATCTAATATAGCTACAATCTCTACTTGAACACTATATATATATATATATATATAAATAAAACACAAGATCCAGCGCACTCGCCTATCCACTAAACAGCAACTTCAATGTTGAAAGATTTTATTAGTTTTTTTAAAAACACCTAATCTAGGCAAAAATAATGGGGGTTTAGTTACATTATATGATCATACATTGCATAAGCCTGCCACAACGTCAATGTACCCCATCTTTGGCAGGTCCTACACTAACAGCCTAATGTCTGCTCTTATGAGATTAACCACTTACTTGAGGAAAAACATTCCATCTGGGGCTCTCTGCAGTAAGATCTTTGATTGAATACGAAGCCCCCTGTCCAAGGATAGGGAGACCTGTGACTGGATTGTGTTGAATCTTGCCCCTAAGTATATCATAACTTGAGAGGGGGAAAGCTGGCTTTTCTTGAGGTTTACCAACCATCCAAATTTTTGAAGAATTGAAAGAACCGATCTCGATGAAGAAGGAGAATATCTCTACTGTGTGAGAGAATCAAGATGACGTCGAGATAATGGAATATTGAGATGCCTTCCAGACGGATATGTGCTATTAAGGCAACCAGGATCTTTGAGAAAGTCCTGGGAGCTGTGCTCAGGCCAAAGGGAAGGGCTTGAAACTGAAAATGCTGACGGTGAATCGCAAATCTCAGGAACTTCTGGTGTGGTGGAGCAATAGGAACATGAAAATAAGCATCTCGAAGGTCTATGGAGATTAACCAGTCGCCTGGGGAGATGACTTTTATAATGGAACTTACGGATTCCATTTTGAATTTTCTCACATACAGATTTTCGTTTAATTCGTGAAGGTCCAAAATTGGTCTCCACTCCCCTGATGCTTTTGGAGTGAGAAAAAGTCTGGAATAAACTCCCAATCCTCTTTCTTTTGCAGGAACAGGACATATAACTCCTTCTGCTGAAAGGGAAGAAACAAAAGACCGAATGGCCACTGCTTTCTCTGCTTCCATAGGCATGCTTGTAGACATGAACTGGGGATAAGGGATTGTTGAGAATTCCAGGTAGTAGCCGGATTTTAGGGTCTTTAAAACCCACTTGTCCTGAATTGCTGGAGCCCACACCTCGTAGAAGTGAAGAAGTCTTGCTCCCACTCCCAAGGGCTGGACTGGCGTCCCATCAGAATTGCTTTGAAGGTTTACCATTGCCACCACGTCCTCGGGTGGTTTTGGAAGAGGAGAGACCACTTTTCCAGGATTGGAATCTGGAAAACTCCCTACCAGGTCTGTATTGTCTAAATTCCTTGTCCCGAAAGGAACGTCTGTCCTGCGGAAAGGATCTTTTAGGACGTCTATCTTGAGGAAGAAAGGCCTTACGTCCTTCTACTGCCTTTTTGATACATTCGTCCAAGTATTTGCCAAAGAGCATCTCTCCTTGAAAGGGGAGGGAACACAGGCTATTTTATGAAGAATTATCTGCCACCCAATTACGTAGCCAAAGAGCCCGTCTTGATGCTACAGTAAGGACCATGCTTCTGAAGATAGTTTTAACCAAATCTATGGAAGCTTCTGATGAAAAATCAATAGCCAGCTTAATTTTCCTTAAGGATTCCAGCAGCCTGGATCTACTGACTCCGCTTGATATGTCCTCTTCAAGGTCATCCATCCACTGCTTCAAGGCCCTAGAGACAGATGTCAGGGCTACAGCAGGACGAAGCCCAGAGCCAGAGGCTATATAGGCTTTGGACAAATTTGAGTCCATACGTTTATCCATTGGATCTCTTAAAGTACCGGCATCATCCAATGGAAGGGTGGTCTTTTTAGCTAATCGGACAATAGCTGCATTTACTTTGGGGGCAAGGTCCCAATGGTTACTGTCCGTAGCCTTAAAAGGGTATAGTTTAGAAAAACGACCCTGAATAGAGATTCTTTTTTCAGCCTTCTTCCATTCTTGCTTAATGAGGTCCCCAATGGTCTCATGTAATGGGAAGGTAGGATTACGCCTTCTCAGGTCAGCAAAATGCTTACTAGAAGCTGGTTCCTCCTCTCTCTTATCATTAAGCTCCAAGGTATCACGAACTGCCTTGATTAAAGCTTCTATTTTCACACTGTCTATAAAGACAGGAGAGGCCCCATATTCCTCATCTTGAGATGACAACTCGTCTTGCTCAAATACCAGGGGTACATATTCATCAGAGCTTAAGTCAGCATATTCCTCTGGGCTAAAAGATCTACGTCTTTTCTTAGCCCTCTCAGACTGTCGAAGACCCTCTGAAACTGCTTGACGGATGTAAGAGAGAACATCTGGGTCCGGTTCAGCATGGCCTGCCGCTGCTTTAAGACACTCAAAGCAGAGCCTTTTCCCAGGAAGCACCTTGTCATCACAAGCTTCACATAAGGGGGTCTTATGCTTCTTTTTCTTGTATGAGGACCTATGGGTAGAACTGAAAATCCCCCAGTCAGAAGTCTGAAATGCACTCTTTTTTTTTTTTTGTCTTTAAAAATTTTGTAGTGACTTACTCAGAACCTCTAGATTGCGACCTATTTCTCGAAGCCTGACCGGGGGAATCCATAGTATGGGCAGCTAAAAATTAAATAAATTAGAATTTCCAGCAACCAATTATTGCTTTGAAAAGGAGTGGGGAATAGAGAAATTACAATAAAAGGACAAGAAATGTCACTTACCTGCAGCCAGAAGACAGGAGTTTAATCCAGTTATGCAGAATTACATCAAACAGCATAGAGACAGAATAGAGGTGCTTACCCTTTAAATATAAGATGCCAAACAGGAAGTACATCCCCCTGCTGCTGGCCTTCCTCTGGCATGCGTTCCACCTGCGTTCCACTGCTGGAGAGAGGGAAAAGATAGGCCAAAAAAAAAAACGGAAGTACCGAAAACCGGAAGTGCCGAAACCGGAAGTGCCGAAACCGGAAGTGCCGAAAATATCGGCGTGCGTTCCACGACCGGAATGGATCAGCTACAAGGAAGCAGGAGCCCACCCCCAGTCAGGTAAATTCTTATATCTCTGCCACTTACATCCTGAGGATAGGGCAGGCCATCTTTATTGGGAAAGCCAAGAAGCCCAAGTTTATTGCAGCAAGTAGGTGAACCCTTCTGTGGGAATTACCACCTCTCTGGGTCTGGCACATCCAGCTGCTACCTATAGGGTTACTGCAGCATAGCTCCCCAGTCGCTAAGGGGAGAATCCTCCAGGGGGTCGCCCTTGGTGAGGCGCCGTGTCCTGAGGCTTCCATGGGGAGAGAGACTGAACTCCCCATAGGCCAGGGGTACAATTAGACCCAAATAAGTCACAAAAGAAAATTTTTAGGAGATGCAAACTCCACTGTCCCTGAGAAGTGGACAGGAAAAAAAGACTGAGGGGGTATAGGGGGGAGTCTCTTTTATTTAGGAGGTGTTCCTGTCCAATTGAGAAGGGGAGGAGCTATACCCAATGGGGGTTTAGTTACATTATATGATCATACATTGCAGTGTAGGACCTGCCAAAGATGGAGTACATTGACGTTGTGGCAGGCTTATGCAATGTATGATCATATAATGTAACTAAACCCCCATTATTTTTGCCTAGATTAGGTGTTTTTAAAAAAACTAATAAAATCTTTCAACATTGAAGTTGCTGTTTAGTGGATCGGAGAGTGCACTGGATCTTGTGTTTTGTATTATTTGGCCCCCAGCAGCACCCCCATTTATGCATGTTTAGGTGAGTGCAGCCAACCCCCCCTTGTTTCATATGTATATATTTGGGAGTCTAGCCAACTCCTTTGGTTTTGCACCCCTCCCTGTCACAGGTGCCTCATCCCAGGGCCCTATTTAGCCTTGTACTGCAGACAGCCCCAGATGGAATTTTTTTCCTCAAGTAAGTGGTTAATCTCATAAGAGCAGACATTAGGCTGTTAGTGTAGGACCTGCCAAAGATGGGGTACATTGACGTTGTGGCAGGCTTATGCAATGTATGATCATATAATGTAACTAAACCCCCATTATTTTTGCCTAGATTAGGTGTTTTTAAAAAAAACTAATAAAATCTTTCAGTATTGAAGTTGCTGTTTAGTGGATAGGCGAGTGCGCTGGATCTTGTGTTTTGTATTATTTGGCCCCCAGCAGCACCCCCATTTATGCATGTTTAGGTGAGTGCAGC